AACAGAAACATTAAAGGTTATTGGGCAAAGGTTTCTCATCAATGAAATGTCCCTATGATCTGTGGCATGAGTCGGATGCGTGGCGCACCCTGAAGCGGACAACTGATTCCTCTCCTGAACTTTTCTCTCTCTAAAGAAAGTGGCACGACAAATCGACAAGGCGTAAAAGACCGACACGCCTCGAATGAAAAAAAATTGTACCCCTCAGACGGCATGTGCTCAGTGCCGTCGATCGAGCGCCTTTATAGCGCCTCACGAACGTGTAACATGCCGATCCAGACGCCCACCGCAACCGCCCGCCCACAAATGACTGCAAAGTCACATCGACTCTGATCTCTTATCGCGTCACTTAGAAAGTACATATGGTATAAAGCGGAAGTACATGGTCATACAAGTACATACAAACAGCCGCATTTAACCACCCGGTTGCTGGCACGTGCCAACGATAAACTCGACCAAAAGGCCATGGTCGATGCCGTGCGGAACGGAGGTTTTTCGCGAGTTTTCAGTCGTTTATTCAGTTTTTCGTTATTTTCCCCATTAAACAGCACCCTCTGCCACTACTTTGGAGCAAGTACCAAATGATCGTGCTTTATGCCTTCATGCTTATAAGTTAAAAACCAACTCACTTCTCAAAAATGCCTTTTATCCATTCTTGGATAGCCAATAGAATATTTTCTGCCCGACATGAGAATCCTGTATCCTCTCGTAGTTGAGACACGTTTCGTTCAAGTAGAACCAGAGCTTGATCGAGTCGAATACGTCCTGAACGCCATCGAGTACCATGCAACGGTAAACTGAAAGCACGTGCATGATGTTTGCCTTGTTATTGTCATCATTCCTTTATGAGCACAAATCACGCAGGGCAGAAATCACACTTGCCTCCGACTATCCTTTGGGGAATAAATACAAGAAGTCGAGGCACCAGACAGGATCGAGTAACGGAATATGTAGTCCAGTAATAGGGACGCACTTCCCAGGAAATGGAGGACGTGTCCGACTGCAGCTGCCATTTCATTCTCTTGATGACCTTAATACAAACGCTTTTGAACACGTTGTGGACCACGTGAGACACACGGTTTGTCATATTTTACTCTTTCCGCAGCTTCATGTCATCTATTTCGCATCCTTTCCACGTTCGAAGTTATCAGAACACTTTTTTGTCATGGAAAATACAGATTTCACGGGGGAGGGGGTATAGCGCACTTGAAACGGGAGTCAACAATCGGAGAAATTTCCAAATATTAAATGTGCTACTTGACAAATGGAAAAGGGAAGTCACATTACCTATCATGTCTCTCGGGGCGGGCAGATGTATACCGCAAATGCTACCATATTCAATACAAGGGCATTCTCCTTTATGTGTCCCCTCAGAAGCTCTGTGGACCTAAGAAAAATTCAATTTTGGAAATGCGAAATCGAGCAACGAATAAAAACATGCTCATAAGCAATAAGCAATATACCTAAAATAAAAAAACTAACCTCACTTCGACCCAAATACTTTCATATAGTCATTCAATTGTCAATAATCTCCTTCTCGCTTTTATAAGCTGTGTATACGCATGCAGATATTTCCTGAATATGATGGGGTCCAACACTGAAGCAAGCAGTTCAAGTATATTCTAGTCCGCTGCGGATGAAGGGGCATGTATGCAGTAAGAGGGTGGCATGGCACCGAACCCGTTCTCTGCCCAGTTGTTGAAGCAGAGTATCGGACTTGTCTAAGAAAACGAGAGTACGAACCATAGAACAGTCTCACGATTGTTCGCTCGCAACAGCGTGCTAGACAACGGGTTCGGCACCGCTCAAACTTATCCCGCCTGACACACCTCTTCGATCGCAGCAAAACTGACTGTGATCAGACACCGCAGCAGCGTGCAGTAATAATATCTTATTTCTATCCTCGATAAGGCATTATCACGAGCTCAAAATGGACAACAATTGCTTCTATGCGAAAATATGCTTTGAACGTGAAGATACAGAGCAATCCACAAGCATAGGCAAAGTGCTTAATGCTCAAAAGACAGCGTGGCGCAGTTCGGCGACGCTAGGGGAGCGGGGGACATCCCCCCCCCCTCCCCAGCTCCGAACTGCGCCAAAGAGGGCGTCTAGCGACGGCAGCACTTCGGTCGCGCATTCCCAGCGCGATAGTCCAGCAGCAAAGCATGGGCCCGATAGATTAGCTTTCACAGATGCCCGGACTGCGAGCGCTGCCCGTCATATTTCTGCAGGGTCTACAGATGACGGCATCAGCACCGTCACCTGGCCGCGTACTTACGACGATTTTGAAGTAATGACGATTGGAGAAAAAAAGGAAGAGTACGAATTGATCGGAAGGAACTAAACAGGATCTGCACACGGATTCGCAATTTCTCCCAAACCTCCGCATAATGCGAGAGGCTAAACGAGTCGGCCATCTATGCTGATCCTACATTTATCTAGGTTCCGCGTAATCTGCAGACTAGAGACATGTAGACTAGGCAAGAACGTCGAAGTTGACGACAAAGACTGAATAGTAATTAATCTTCACCCCGACCCTTATGTGGTCATTGGGAAAAGTGACACTTCTGTGAAATCTACAGACTCAGCTGGCTCCCCATTCCTTCGGAGCGATAATTACACTTTCTTTTTCCCCTAAAATACGCCAATTCTTCAAAGCGTGAGTATCGAACGACGCGGCGGTTCACTTATTCGCCATCGCGAAAATGATACAGTTATTATAGATTGATGGATCGAGGCTCCCTGTGTAAAAGAAGGGGCAATTCTAGCATAATTAGACATGCGACTGTTTTCAGCAATATCAACAAAAGCAAGGCGGGGACACAAGCTCACGGCATTGTTCACAGTCTGCGACCCTGACGAAACGGCGGTTGGGAGAAAAGCAAAAAATAGTCATCGATCGGAGAATCGCCAACCGCTAGTTTCGCCGAACCGCCGCGGTTCGGCGGTTGGGCGAAAAGCAATAGATGTGTATCGATTTCGCTGGCGAAAAACGCCACGGCGATCGAGCTAGCGTTTCGTCGAAGGCGAAAAACGTCGCGGTTTGGCGAAACGCCCGTCGATTCGTATCAAAACCCTTTCGCCCAACCGCCAGTCGATACGTATCGAAAGCTTTTCGCCGAACCGCCGCGTTCCAGAGAAACGCTGGACCGCAGACTGTGAACAATGCTAAGCGGGATACCCCTTTGTGAAAGTCTGGAATCTTTTTTTCGAGGTGTTCTTAAGCACTCAAAACTTCAAGCTCCTAAATATAAAAAATTAAGCAAACAAGTGCAAACCTTCTCGTTTCTAAAACAGACTTCCGGAAATCACAAACGGTATCCAAATACGTAAGACTGTTCTTCAGCTCTGTTTGTGCTGCCTAAAAGGTGGAATTAGAGTGCAATGAGAATATTATTGTAAAAAGATAAGAAAGTTTAACAAACAAGAACATACAAAAATGGACATAGACAACCAACTTTCAATAGAAGTTCTTCACTTGTTTTCGCCAAAGTGATACGCTTTCTGATACATGCTCGTTTCAACTGCTCAACAGACCTATGGTATCCACTTGTAACAATTTCCAAATTCCGTATCTCATTCGCCTAGAAAACAGATGAATAATGCCGAAACAGAAACATTCCTTCTCACAGTAAACGGGAATCCCGGAAATTGGTACATTCTATAGAACTGGATAAGGGGCGCTCTAAATGCTTCGAAAGCGAGTGCGAGTACCTAACTACTTACAAGTAGGTCTCAAAAAGGTCGACTAAACCGTTGCTACAGGTAAAGGGGCGACCTAAAGATAATACACATTCTCAGGGCACTTGTCAACCGAAAAGCCTCTCTCTTTCCTTTTTTCTTCCTCCCTCCTTCTTTTCCTTCCTTCCTTCTCTGATCCCTCCTCCTTTACCTTCTCCCTTCAACTACTGGACTGGTAGATGCCTCGTGAAAATAACCCTGGACCCTCGCAGCGAGAGCACGTCTGGTTGACAACAGCCCCGTAACCACTCCCCAGCCGGCACCCCTTCCCTGAGGTAGTCTGCACATCCTTATATGCACCAAAGTTGTGCATGGAAGACTGGACCCAAGCATAGTCTCCACACACATTCGGACGCTACCTAGAACGGCTGATAGCCGTTTCTTGACTAACAAACAACCAGAACAACTAACACTGAGCAGTATCTCCCTGAGAGACAAGGAAAGCTTTACTCAAGCAATACCAGGGCATGCCAAGACGACAATCTAACAGCTGCCACTTCTGTGCCTTAACATTAAGGTCCAACTTCTAGCTAATTGCGCCTCCCTCCGAGTTCTTCGGGAAAACCCGTTAGACACCGGAGAAAAACAAAAATGGTTCCATCTTCTCTCGAAATTCTTACACCCAGCACCCTGCTTATCCACGAACCCGAATGCGACCCACATGAGAAGGATTCTTCAACCAAGCCATGCCCTGTTCAGTGAAGTTCTCCATAGGCTGTCTTACCACATAGTGAAGGGAGCAGTCACAAACGAACTGCGGCAGGAAACCAAGTGAAGGCCTCAAACGGCAACGAACATAACCCAGGTGGAGTACTTGTAATGCTGCTTCACAGAAGATGTGCCAACCGCACTAATAAGTTACCTACCAAGTAATGGGCTTCTGTGAGGTAGTATAAGTCGCCATTTTCCTGAACTTGGTTCTGATGATTCTTCAATATCTCTCTAGTTGATCGTATAGCCAACATTACAGTACGTAGCCTTAAAATGTGGATTGGTTACCTTGTCCGAAAATCAGCATGGACCCACCCAACATATAATGAATAAGGACTAAACCTGTTCCAGCACGCAGGCGATGCCATTTCGACTTCAACAGAGCTCTCATTGTTTTTAAGCTGACTGACTGAAGCAACT